AGTAGCCATAGAGGGGTTGAAGAGATGGAGTTTAAGGAGAGTGTTTCTTCTTTGTTAAGAAATATGATCTTAATAAGAGTCCTCTATCACTTAAGTGATAGGCAAGAAATTCTGAAATTTTCAGAAATCTTTTAATAGATCAATATTCTCACAAAGAGAAAATTACAGAATAAGAGTTGTTAAATAAGTCTTCTATTCCAAGAAGGAAATAGAGAGGGTTCCCCAAATTGCTCAAAGAGCAAATTAAGAGGAATCTTTTAACAAATCTCTTAGATCTGTAACACTCTGCTATTATAAAAATAGCAATGAGTCTTCCACCAAGAAGGTGGGCTGAGAAATAAATTCTCTTAAAGCTCAAAGAGCTTTTATATCTTGGAAATCCTTGAAGGAGACTTCTTGATCTTGGGAGTTTCTCAACTCTTTTTAAAAAAAGAGCTTGAGACTATTCTAGATCTAAGATCTAGAAACTCCTAAAAAAAAAATCTAGTTAGCCACACAGGGCTAAGGATAACCAAAGCTCTGAATACCAAATGTAACACGGGCTTATATGAAAACGCCCTTAAACTCACAACAAAGACCCGGGCTTATAAATGAATGCCTACAAAAGGGTCAATATTAGGCTTATAAAACGCCAAGAATACACACACACGGTAAAGACTAGTCCTAATAGTAGCCTCAAGTCTTGGAAGCTTGGTAGGTGAAGCCTTGGAAGAGAAGATGTAGCTTCACCAAGAAGGTAGTAGATGCTTGGAGCACTTGTGAGGGAAAAAGTCTTGGACTTAGTGAGAAAATCCCATTTCCATTTTGGTTAATTGGAAGTTGGGAGTTGAGAATGAGCTTGGTTAGCTCAAACCCCTCCTAGACCTCCTTGGGGAGCTCCACTTCCTCCATGGCAACAAGGGCAAGGAGCTCCTTGGGGTAAGCTTGCTTAGGTGGCACAATGGTTGGATTAGCAACCAGTGAGAGAGATAGTTTTGTGATAAGGTTGGTTTTGTTAAATGTTGAAATTTGTAACAGCAATGCTCAAATGCTATTGGTTAGAATTCCAACCAATGTGGAGGTTGGGTTGATTCCCAACCATGTTTGTCTTTTAGTGGTGGTGGTCCACAATTGTGGACCAATCACCACTCATCTCCTCCAACCTCTTCTTCCCGTAAGTCGATACCTTGCTTAGGTATCGCTTTAGCTAGGATCGCTCGTAGAGTAGGAGGGCGATGCGTTACAGTTTGTTTGTTTGTTTGTTTGTTGGTTTTTTTTTTGTTTTTGTTTTTTTTTTGTGTTTTTTTTTTTTTTTTTTTTTTTTTTTGTTTCTACTCGCTAAACCTCCTCCTAATTTGCTGCTCGCTGGACATGACAGAACAGTCAGTGGCGTATTGGTTCAAAGTAACGACATCCCACTGAACTAACTCTCTAGAGTAGAACGGTGCTGTCGGTGGCAACGATAAGCCGGTCATGGGGTATTGTTGGGACGACTGGACCGACGCCGACGACATGCGAGCCATGTGGGCCCAGCCGGCCGTGCAGAGGCTGTGGGAATGTGGAGGCGCGAATCATCGGGAAAAGTTCCATTCAAGATGAGGAGGGTTCGCAACAAGAGCGTGCCTCACATCGTGCTTGAAGGTAGAGATAGGGAAGGGGGAATGAGGGAAAGAGGGAGTATGCAGGAGATACTGAGTTATAAATTATACTTTTTTCTTCTTTGTCTTCTTTTGTGAACGTTACTGTGCCTCACATTGTGCTTGAAGGTAGACATAGGGGAGGGGGGGTAAGGGGTGCATAAGCGAGGCAAGTGAGACAAGTGCGAGGGTGAGAGGAGATGGGTTACAAAGTCTGATGTTCATTGGCGGCTAAGAAGAATTGCCACCACCGCATGTAGCTCTAAACAGGGGAGAGGGAGGGAACCGAGTGGCCTAAAAAAGCCAGCTGCTAACTGAAATAAGGCGAGGAGAATCGACACTATAGTCTGTAGCTCTGACGGAGGAAGCAGAGAGGGAGGGAGGTGCGGGTGATGAGAGGGAGGGAGGCGCAGGTGATGAGAGGGAGGGAGGTGCAGGTGAAGTAGAGCGTAGGATAGCAGCCCCTAGTCGGCTGAATTTATACGGCGCCTAAGATATTGGCTCCCTCCCTCTCTCCCCTCTTAACAACTAATGCGCACACAGTGTGGATCTCTCCTCCCTCTATCAGGCGGCGCAGTGAGGAGTTTGTGGTGAGGGCGTACAATGGCGGGCCGGGGGGAGTGAAAATCGCAGCCATTGCAGTCTACCTCAAGGCGAAAGAGGTGAGTGGAGGGGGGTGGAGGATTCAGGGTGTAGTTGTGCTTGAGGAGTGGCACTGCAGTGGGATATCGCAGAAGGGCTGCAACTCGTTTGATGCGATCACAATCATGCTGGCAGTGCTGCATCGTAGAACGTTTGTGCATTGCCGGTGCCGTGCTTGATTTCTGCATGTCCAATATGGTGACTGCAGGAAATTCGCAACATATTAGGGCGCGTAACCATTTTGCATTTTTCGATTTTGACGGACCGTCCGCTTAAACCGAAGCGGACGGTCCACTTATCGAGAACGGGACCGTCCGATTGAGTTTTTTGCAACTTCGGACTGTCCGAAGACAGTTGTGACACTTTTTTCCTAATGTACAATTTCGCGATCACTGTACAAGCGTTACGAAATTCATTCACGTTCGTCGATATCGTCATCGAATCATTTTTGTTTTTAGGTTGTCTATGGTTGGTCAATGTTAATTCGTGAAGCAGCATTGCACGATTTTGTTGGTGGACGAGGTGACTCGACAATTTTTACATCGTGCGCCAATCGTGTGCAATGACTTTCGGACAGTCCGTTTGGGATTCGGACTCTCCACGGTTCAGATCTCGGACCGATGAAAATAGGAAAAAGTGTCACGACAGTCCGCTTTGTTGGCGATGTCGCCAACACCTTAGCGAACACACTTACGACGTAATGCGAATTCTGTTACCTTTTCGCCACCCGGACGGTCCACGGTTCGAACCGTCGGGTGCAAAATGGTTACGCGCCCTTACGTAACTCATCTGCTCCATTCCTGCCATCCGCATCTGGTTCATCTGCATCGTCCACATCTGGTTCATCTGCACCGTCCCGATTCCCAACCGCCCATGCCTGTATCTGTCCCGGCGTCCAATCTCACTGGGTGCGTGAAGCGGTTACCATGTTACGTGACGCATCCGTGGAAGCACAGGGCATGCTTGACATGCTACGTGGCTCATCCATGTTAGTACAGCGACTAGTCGACCTGGTTCTTTGCTCATCCATGTCAGCACAGGATATTATCGACGATCTACGTGGCCCGTCCCTGTCAGCACAGGAAATGCTCAATGACTTACGTGGCTCATCCATGTCAGCACAGGAAATGGTTGACCTGTTACAGCGCGCATCCATGCCAGTTTATAGGATGGTTGACATGGCACTTGGCTCATGTCGGTGCTGGAAATGGTTGTGATTTTCCGCAGTTCATCCATGTCAGTTCGGGAGATGGTAGCCATGCTCCTTCGTTCATCCATATCAGTGCGGGAGATGGTAGATATGCTCATTGGTTCATCCATGTCGGTTCAGGAAATGCTCAATGTGCTGCGCTGCTCGTCTGTTTAGCCCATACAGGAGGTGCTGGGGTGCCAGGCTATGTGGTGACACAGGTGTGCTGTGGGTGACGCATCGGCTGGAGGAGCTACAGTTTGCAGACGGGGCGGCATACATGGATGGTGGCAGGGTGGTGGTCATGGGGTCCGTGCCTCATGTTGTGGACTACATCACCCGCCAGCAGCAACAGCAGCAGGCTGCCACTGCAGGGTCGTTCTGGTCCGCGTTTGGTCCCACTTGAGTGCTCCATGATTGCAGTGCAGGCCCTATGGTTGCATCATTGCAGATTAATTTGATGAAAGGGGATGTGCTGTGGTCTCATCTACAAAGCCTTTTTTATCCTAGTAGGATAACAATCTCTATGCTTTTAATGTTTGATTAATGCCTATGAAATCAGAGAAAAAAATCAATCATGGAACATAAACAGGATCCTTATCGATTGTACGTGTGTGGCAGTACAGGATACACATACAGGGTATATGTGAGGTGGTTTTGTCATGTTAATAATGTGCGACATCAACATCCCCGAAGGATACGAAGCTCATGATTATCTGAAGGATCTAAACTAGCTTGTGATCAATCAACTCGTTTATCAATCAATATTCAAATCCTGCTTTACGAACAGGCACCTTATACAGAGGAAACCACAAAGCTTGTTTGCCCATTTGAATCTGTCCAGCAGAAAGGCGGGCATTCCCGAAGGCTGCTGATTTGAATCCGGCAGCAGCAATAGGAACGCACACGCCTTTCCCTTTCTGAGCAACTGCGACAATCCCGGAAGACCCTTTTCATGGCGATGTACGAATTCTTTGCGAAAGGATTTTGCGAACAGACGTCTGTTCTCTTACAACGGTTGTAACAATGGCTTCACAGAAACGGCTATGAAATCAGTGGCGGGAAACTCTTGCGCATTGACGTACTCACGTACCTAAAACGCACCGACACCGACAGAACGTTCCCATACCTCCCACCCCGCTGATTTCGCCTGACGCGGTTCCACCACAATCCCAAACCTGAACCCCCAGCAAAAGACGCTTTGAGATCCGTCCACAGGCCTCGCTTATTGTTTTCCCACCGTTCGATTCGTGTGACGTGGCACGCTAACGAGTAGACAGCGAGGCAGGGCGAGGTTGGAACTTCAATGGTCAGGCAGACGAGGCTTGTGGCCGTGGGGACGAGGGTTTGAGCGGGCGAGGCCAGGTTGCAGTAGAAATGGGGTCCCTTTGGTTGGATCTAATCATTCTCAACTCCTCAGAGCTTTCCGTGTTGCATTGGAAACTTGAAAAGGGCATTTCAACTCTGCTACCTCTGCATCAGCTAACGACCTTACTGTTGAACACCTTCCAGCGATCAGCCTTCGTCAGACGATCTCCTGACAGCCGAGTAAAATGGCATCCTATGCTGATAACTTCGCTGCTAACTCTGCTTTTCAAACCTCGAGCAGTCCTGCAACGCCTACCAGGGGCATTGGCAGGTTCGGAACCCCTCGGACCGTGTTCTCGCCTGCAGCGTACTCTCCTGTGAAGGCTGCTGCTTGCAACGGTGAAACGTTCTGCAGCAGCGTGCTTCTGAAGAGCGTGAGGCCGCTGCTGGAGAAACTGGCCTCCCAAGGCGTCGCTGACGGGCAACACAAGCCCACCTTGAAGGTGCACGTTGTAGCTGACGCGCCTGATGTGAAGCGGCCTGGAATCGGCCGCTTCGGAGGCAAGCCTGCTGCTGCCGTGCTCGCACCTGTGGTCGTCAATGCTGCTCCCGTCACACCATCTCCTGCTGCTGCAGTCGCACCGACTGCTGTGGTTGCGCCTGTGGTGGTGCCTGAAGTAGCGCCTGCGGCTCCAGTGGCTTTAACCACACCACAGGTGCCTGAAGCGTCTGTTACGACAGAAGCAATGTCCAAGGGGTCTGCTGATCCGAGTGAGCAGAAAGCCAGATGGGACAAGCTGCGTCAGGAAATTCGAGCAATGGATAGTGAATGGATGAAAAACTTTAGAGCACGTGCTGCTTACCTGAGGTGGGCCAGGTTGGACCAGGAGAAGTGGGCAAGAGACATCGAAGCCGCCATTGAAGCCTGCCTTCCTGCCTGGATCGCGCCTGGTAGAGCAGTTCCTCCTGTATCTGCAGCTGCAGCGACTGTAGCAGAGTCCGCAGCACAAGCTGCTCCATCTGCAGCATCAGCAACAATTGTGAAATCACCTGTTTCGGCATCACCAGTTAGAGGAGCTTCAGCAGCGGCACAGGAGTCAAGACCTGCTGTTGCAGCAAGGTGTAAGGTGGGGGGTGAAACCGTGAAGGGAAAGAATGGGTGCAGCAGCAAGGCGGTGAGCACTGGTGTGAAGGGTGGCAAGGAAAGCAGCAAGCCTGCAGTCTCTAACCCACGTGCAGCAGCAGCAGCTGCAGCAGTTGCTGGATCACGTGGTGCTGCATCATCAGTGAGAACAGCTGGCAAGGCCAGCAGCAGATATGCTGTGGCGAAGAGGAGAGAGGAGGGTGGGTGTGGGGAGGGAGCAGCAGGGAGGGCAGCAGGTGGAAGGCAGGGTGGTGTGAAGGCAGCAGGTGGCAGAGCAGTGGCAAGTGGCGTGTGTGGCAGGGAGGGGGTGAAGCAGCAGGCGGGGAGGAGAGAGGGTTTGGTGCATGAGAGGCAGGCGAGGCCAGGCTGCAGCAGCAGCAGGGCGCACAGAAGGAGCAGCTCCTGAAAGAGCCTTCATGGCAATGACTGCTCCCAAAATGAGGATCATACATGGGTACAACACTCAAGGTTGTGCTGGAACAATGGTGACAATAGAACAACTCCCAGCTGCTGCTGGGAATATGTGATGCAGAGTAGGAACTATGTACACTGTATATTACTAGGAAAATGTTTATACCTGTAGCTTTGCCCTATGTGGAATCTTGTAATATGCAATTGCATTACACAAATTATATGTTTTCATCTCCTTGGAAGCAATTCAGCTTGCTAGGAATATTGCACCACATCACTACAAAACCAAGGGTCATTACTTGTAAGCTGCAGGTTTTTGTGTAGAACTCCAATACAGTATGCTTGCTTGGAAGGATCATCAAGTGTCGCTTCTTGTTCAAAAAATCATCCCAAAACAGGGGTTGATTGGAACCTCAGCTGGGGCATAGTTCAGCAAAGATTGAACCGGGCCATCTCAGAGGGACATGTTTAGTGCATATGTAGCGCGCTAATGCTGATGGAACAACCCCAAGCTGCTTCTGAGGATACATGTATTGAACGTGATGACACTTGTAACCTCCACCACATGCCTGCATGGGGTTATATGTGTGTATGAGTGTATGGGTACATGAGTGCATCGGTTGGTACATGTGTGCATGTGTGCATGTATGCATCGGTACATGGGCGCATCGGTTGGTACAGGTGTGCATGGGTAAATGTGTGCATGGGTACATGGGTGCATGGGTGTATGTGTGCATGGATGCATGGCTGCATGTGTGCATGGATGCATGGCTGCATCTGCACTTGCACACATGTGCACATGAGTCTGTGAATGCATGGGTATGTGGGTGCACGGGTGTATGGGTGTATTAGAGCATGGGCGCATGGGTATAAGGGTGGAAGGGTGTGCGGGTTCATGGGTGCGTGGTTACATCGGTGTATGGGTATGTGGGTAGATGATTAAATGGATGCATGGGTGCGTGGGTATGTGGGTGCATGGTTAAATGGGCGCATGTGTGCATGGGTATGTGGGTGCATGGGTGCATGGATACATGGGTATGCAGGTGCATGGGTATGCGGGTGCATGAGTATGCAGGTACATGAGTATATGGGTGCATGATGCATCAGTGAATGCGTTCAAGATCATGTAGCAGAAGCAAGATACTGGGTGGAATGATGACTCAAAGCCACGTATAGAGGGAAACAAGGAAAGAGAGTGCTTGTGGAGCGAAGGTATCCCAAATGGGGAGGTGAAGGAAGGGAGGAGTGAGAAACAAGTGAGATTGCAAGTGAGATTGCGAGTGAGATGGAAACAGCTGAGGGATGGGATGGGATGGGGAGGAAACATCATGGAGACATCATTGAGATGGAATGGGATGGGACTGGTTCAAAAGGGATGGGATGGGTTGGGAATGGTTCAAAAGAGATGGGATGGGATGGGACTGCTTTGAATGGGATGGGATGAGACTGGTTTGGATGTGATGGGATGGGATGGGAATGGTTCGATTGGGATGGAGGGATGGGACGTGATGGGACTGGTTTGAATAGGATGGGCTGGGCTCGGCTGGGAGGGGTTCGGATGGGTAGCGATGGGCTGGATTCTGATGGGATGGGAAGGGATCGGTTGGGATGGAGTCCGAGGCACACAGATAAAAGCAACCGAGCAGAAAAATTCATTAATACAACAACATATTGATGATAACCAAAGCAAAACTGCTTACTTTGACAGAAATGGCGATACATGATAGCAAGGGATGATGGGAAAGTTACGAACGACTTCCTGGCTGTTTGGAACACTGGGGGATGATGGAAGCAGCAAGGGACGACGGGAAAGTCAAGACCATGGGAACAGCTAGGGGTGATGGGAGCTGTTGTGTATGGTAGGTAGGTATACACACACACATGGCATGTTTCAGTGCACACGCACATGGCATATTTTTGTGCACACACACACATGACATCATTCAGTACACACACACACGATAAATGATTCCGAGCCTTATTTTTATATCATGTACACACATGGTTGCTCACATGGCATACCAGCTGCTGACGTGGCATTACAGGTTTTGACATGGCGTTTCATCTGCTGAGTGACATGGATTCCAGGTGCTGACATGGCAGGGAAGCAGGTCAAGTCATAGATGGTCTCTTCCTCCCATGTTGTCATTGCAGGTGCGGCACTTCAGACTGTGTTGGAGCGCATGTAGAGGGAAAGATGAGGGCGAAGTGAAACAGAGAGGAAGGGAAGGACAAATGACGACGAAGGAGAATAGGAGGGGATGGAGGAGAACTGGGGGTAGGGGGTCGGGGAGAATGGGAGGGGATGCGGGAGAATGGGAGGGGGTGGGGGAGAATGGAGGGGATGGGGGAGATGATGAAACCAAGAGGAGGGGCAGGGCGAAGGGCAACGGAGAAGAGCGCGAGGAGCAGAGGAGAAGGTGAGAGAGGGAGGTTGAGGTGGGTGAGGGTGCTGCGGGTGGAGGGCATGTGAATAACATGCATGCATCGCTTGATGTGATGTCATGTGAGTGCAACATGCATGTATATATCTGCAGTGCATGTGTTGGATCGCATGCATGAGCACGTGAGCATGCATGAGTGGACGTCAAATGGAGCCGATGACGTTGGCATGATGTCAGCAGGCCCGAAAACACGTATGCAAATCGCAACAACCCGGAAATCACACGGTTCCTGTTGCATTGACATTGACAACCCCACAGCAGGTCTTTTTGAGTCAGCTAAAAAATCACCCTATCAGCGGTTCCTGTTGCGTCGATTCAGACAAGCCTCACAACAGGTCGAGCCTCATGGAACTGCTTACCATCAGCTGTTCAAATCTCTCCCCCCACCACTGCGCAGCATACTTCACTCCCCCCTCCACTGCGCAGCATACTTCACTCCCCCCTCCACTGCGCAGCATACTTCACTCCCCCCTCCACTGCGCAGCATACTTCACTCCCCCCTCCACTGCGCAGCATACTTCACTCCCCCCTCCACTGCGCAGCATACTTCACTCCCCCCTCCACTGCGCAGCATACTTCACTCCCCCCTCCACTGCGCAGCATACTTCACTCCCCCCTCCACTGCGCAGCATACTTCACTCCCCCCTCCACTGCGCAGCATACTTCACTCCCCCCTCCACTGCGCAGCATACTTCACTCCCCCCTCCACTGCGCAGCATACTTCACTCCCCCCTCCACTGCGCAGCATACTTCACTCCCCCCTCCACTGCGCAGCATACTTCACTCCCCCCTCCACTGCGCAGCATACTTCACTCCCCCCTCCACTGCGCAGCATACTTCACTCCCCCCTCCACTGCGCAGCATACTTCACTCCCCCCTCCACTGCGCAGCATACTTCACTCCCCCCTCCACTGCGCAGCATACTTCACTCCCCCCTCCACTGCGCAGCATACTTCACTCCCCCCTCCACTGCGCAGCATACTTCACTCCCCCCTCCACTGCGCAGCATACTTCACTCCCCCCTCCACTGCGCAGCATACTTCACTCCCCCCTCCACTGCGCAGCATACTTCACTCCCCCCTCCACTGCGCAGCATACTTCACTCCCCCCACCACTGCGCAGCATACTTCACTCCCCCCTCCACTGCGCAGCATACTTCACTCCCCCCTCCACTGCGCAGCATACTTCACTCCCCCCTCCACTGCGCAGCATACTTCACTCCCCCTCCACTGCGCAGCATACTTCACTCCCCCCTCCACTGCGCAGCATACTTCACTCCCCCCTCCACTGCGCAGCATACTTCACTCCCCCCTCCACTGCGCAGCATACTTCACTCCCCCCTCCACTGCGCAGCATACTTCACTCCCCCCTCCACTGCGCAGCATACTTCACTCCCCCCTCCACTGCGCAGCATACTTCACTCCCCCCTCCACTGCGCAGCATACTTCACTCCCCCCTCCACTGCGCAGCATACTTCACTCCCCCCACCACTGCGCAGCATACTTCACTCCCCCCTCCACTGCGCAGCATACTTCACTCCCCCCTCCACTGCGCAGCATACTTCACTCCCCCCTCCACTGCGCAGCATACTTCACTCCCCCCTCCACTGCGCAGCATACTTCACTCCCCCCTCCACTGCGCAGCATACTTCACTCCCCCCTCCACTGCGCAGCATACTTCACTCCCCCCTCCACTGCGCAGCATACTTCACTCCCCCCTCCACTGCGCAGCATACTTCACTCCCCCCTCCACTGCGCAGCATACTTCACTCCCCCCTCCACTGCGCAGCATACTTCACTCCCCCCTCCACTGCGCAGCATACTTCACTCCCCCCTCCACTGCGCAGCATACTTCACTCCCCCCTCCACTGCGCAGCATACTTCACTCCCCCCTCCACTGCGCAGCATACTTCACTCCCCCCTCCACTGCGCAGCATACTTCACTCCCCCCTCCACTGCGCAGCATACTTCACTCCCCCCACCACTGCGCAGCATACTTCACTCCCCCCTCCACTGCGCAGCATACTTCACTCCCCCCTCCACTGCGCAGCATACTTCACTCCCCCCTCCACTGCGCAGCATACTTCACTCCCCCCTCCACTGCGCAGCATACTTCACTCCCCCCACCACTGCGCAGCATACTTCACTCCCCCCTCCACTGCGCAGCATACTTCACTCCCCCCTCCACTGCGCAGCATACTTCACTCCCCCCTCCACTGCGCAGCATACTTCACTCCCCCCTCCACTGCGCAGCATACTTCACTCCCCCCTCCACTGCGCAGCATACTTCACTCCCCCCTCCACTGCGCAGCATACTTCACTCCCCCCTCCACTGCGCAGCATACTTCACTCCCCCCTCCACTGCGCAGCATACTTCACTCCCCCCTCCACTGCGCAGCATACTTCACTCCCCCCTCCACTGCGCAGCATACTTCACTCCCCCCTCCACTGCGCAGCATACTTCACTCCCCCCTCCACTGCGCAGCATACTTCACTCCCCCCTCCACTGCGCAGCATACTTCACTCCCCCCTCCACTGCGCAGCATACTTCACTCCCCCCTCCACTGCGCAGCATACTTCACTCCCCCCTCCACTGCGCAGCATACTTCACTCCCCCAACCACTGCGCAGCATACCCCTCTCCCCCCCCCCACTGCGCAGCATACCCCTCTCCCCCCCCCCACTGCGCAGCATACCCCTCTCCCCCCCCCACTGCATACTTCACTCCGCTGCACTACCCTCCCCGCTGGACATCCCCTCCCTCTCCCCTCCCTCCGCTACACTTGTCTCCCCTGGACTTGACTCCATTGCGCAGCATACCTCCCCTCGCACTTCCCTCAGCTCCACTTCACTCCGCTGCAATTCCCTCCGCTGCACTGCACTCCGCTGCACTCCACTCGCTGCAATCTGCTGGACATTTCCTCCCTCTTCCCCCGTCTCTCCCGCCCCTTCCATCCGCTCCGCATCCAGCGCCCTTCTCCTACTCCATCCGTTGCCCCGCAACCCGTATTCCCCCTCGCTCCCACCCGCCGCGTCACATTAGCGCGGTCGTATCAGCGCGCGACAGGAGGAAACGGCCTGCGAGAACTTCGTCCCTTCCCTCTCGCCTCCATCCTCGCCTTCTGCTCGACGTATCGCCCATTCCGCTCCTTCCGCTCATTCCGCCTTGCCCGCTCGTCCAGCGGGAAACGGTGAAGCTGGCCTGAGATTTCGCATTTCCCGCCACCATCAAACGGCGCGACTGCAGCGTGAAAACCGCATCTCATACGTGAATCCCTGGAACAGTGATCACTTGTGCGATTAGTTTCGATTATGATTCGAGATAGACCAAAAAACGTAATCGCCAGTGCGCTTGTAATCGGTTGAGCGCGCGCTCGTAATTGATTGTGCACCCGTAATCGCCGCTTGTGCGCCCGCTATCGTTAGTGCAAATCGTAATCAAGCTAGGTTGGAGTTCTGGGGGATTTCGCCTAGGTCACGAAGGCAAGTTTTTCCGCAGTCTGTCGCTCGTCAAAACACGCAGCACCGTGAGATTGTTTTTTAGGACCGTAATGCACCGTATTAGGTTTTATCCTTTCGAATGTAATTGATATATGTACAGCAAACCACCGAAATTGAACGTTGCCAATGGGCTCAGCGAGCTCAGATAGCTTATAAAGCGGACAACACAAATCATCCCTTCCCCCACACACAGGGCCAACACACGGGCATGCGTAAATCCCAAGGCCTGCTCTACTTTTTGCCAGCCAGCCACCATACTTTGGAGAGGATCCCAATAGGACTGTCGCGTAGCCTTTTGCGATTGCGTCGCAAATTCTTTAGCGAAGGTGTTTCCACTATTTTTATCCTAGATATTCGTTCCAGAAACGGCTAGGGGAAAATCGAGAACGAAAAATGAGCGGGAAGTTGTTGGGGCGTCTCGAGGACTCACGAACCTGAAACGCACCGACACCAATAGAATGTCTCCGAACCTCCCAATCCCGTTGTTTACGCCTGACGCGGCGCCATCACGATCCCGAACCTGAACCCCAGCGAAAGACGCCTTGAAATCCATCCATACGCCTCCCTACCAGGTTCCCCACCGTCAGATTTGTATGACATGGCACGCTCATGAGTAGACAGCGAGGCACGCCGAGGCTGGAACTCCAATTTTCAGGCTGCCGAGGCATGTGGGGGTGGAGGCGAGGGTTTGAGCGGGCGAGGCCCGAGTGCTGTAGAAATGGGGTCGCCAGGGTTGAAATCTACCATTCCCAATTCCTCTTCCGTTCTGTCGATCTGCAGTGATCAAGTACTTCAATTTCAGCCTCTGCCCAGCGATCAGATTCTGTTCAGCAATCTTCTGTCAAGTAACATGGCCTCTCTTGCTGATATCTGCACTATTAACTCGGTTTCTCCAACCTCGAGCAGTCCTGCAACGCCTACGAGAGGCATTGGCAAGTTCGGAACCCCTCGAACCGTTTTCTCGCCTGTAAGATACTCTCCTGCCAAGCCTGCTCCTTGCAATGACGACGGTGAGACGTACTGCAGCAGCGTGCTTCTGAAGAGCGTGAGGCCGCTGCTGGAGAAACTGGCGAATCAACTTCCTGACGGGCAGCACAAGCCCACCTTGAAGGTGCACGTTGTACCTGACGCACATGATGTGAAGCGGCCTGGAATCGGCCGTTTCGGAGGCAAGCCTGCTCCTGCCGTGCTTGCACCTGCACCTGTGGTCGTCGCTGCTGCTGCTGCTGCTGCTGCTGCTGCTGCTGCTGCAGTCACACCGTCTGCTGTGGTTGCGCCTGTGGTGGTGCCTGAGGTAGCGCCTGTGGCTCCAGTGGCTTCAACCACACCCCAGATGCCTGAAGCGTCTGTGACAACAGAAGCAATGCCCAAGGGATCTGCTGATCCGAGTGAGCAGAAAGCCAGATGGGACAAGCTGCGTCAGGAGGTTCGTGCAATGGATATTGAAATGGCAAAGGTGAGAGCACGTGCTGCTTATTTGAGGTGGGCCAAGCTGGACCAGGAGAAGTGGGCCAGGGACATTGAAGCCGCCATTGAAGCCTGCCTTCCTGCCTGGATCGTGACTGGCAAAACCGTCCCCCCTGCATCTGCAGCAGCAGCGACTGTAGCAGAGTCCGCATCACCAGCTGCTCCCTCGCCTGCAGCTACAACAACAGTGAAATCACCTGCTGCGGCATCACCAGTGAGAGGAGCTTCAGCAGCATCACAGGAGTCAAGACCTGCTGTTGCAGCAAGGTGCAAGGTGGGGGGTGAAACCGTGAAGGGCAAGATTGGTTGCAGCGGCAAGGCGGTGAGCACTGGTGTGAAGGGTGGCAAGGGAAGCAGCAAGCCCGCAGTCCCTGGCATATGTGCAGCAGCCGCAGCAGCTGTGGGATCACGTGGTGCTGCATCATCAGTGAGAGCAGCTGGCAAGGCCAGCAGCAGGCATGCGAGTGGGGTGAAGAGTAGAGAGGGGGTTGGGTGTGGGGAGGGAGCAGCAGGGAGGGCAGCAGGTGGAAGGCAGGGTGGTGTGAAGGCAGCAGGTGGCAGAGCAGTGGCAAGTGGCGTGTGTGGCAGGGAGGGGGTGAAGCAGCAGGCGGGGAGGAGAGAGGGTTTGGTGCATGAGAGGCAGGCGAGGCCAGGCTGCAGCAGCAGCAGGGCGCACAGAAGGAGCAGCTCCTGAAAGAGGTGGCGTCGGTATGACTGCTCTCAAAATGATAGTATACATGGGTACAAGACTCAAGGGTGTGCTGGAACAATGGTGACAATAATAGAACAACTCCCAGCTGCTGTTGGGAATATGAGATGCAGAGTTTGAACTTTGTACACTGTATAATACTAGGATATGTTTATCCCAGTGGCTTTGCTCTATGAGTAGACTTGTAATCTGCAATTGTTACACATCTTTTTTTTCTTCATCTTCAAGGGAGCAATGCAGCTTGCAAAGATTGCACCACAGCAGCCTAAAACACAAAGGATCAATGCCTGTAGTATGCTCTCCTTTGTGTGGAATGAACTCACAATACTGTAAGCTTGCATGGAAGGATCATCAAGTGTTATTTCTTGTTGAGGAATCACTCTGATGCAAGGGTTGATTGAGGTCTCAGCTTAGCTGGGGCAGAATCCAGCAGAGATTGAACCAGGGCATCTCAGAGGGACATGTTTCGTACATACTTTGTGTGCTAATGCTAATGGAACAACCCCAAGCTGCTTCTGAGGATACACGTATTAAACATGATGGCACTTGGAACCTCCATCGCATGCCTGCACGGATACATGTGTGCATGAGTGTATGAATACATGGATGCATTGGTTGGTACATGTGTGCATGGGTACATGAGTGCAATGGTTGGTATATGAGTGCATAGGTACATGGGTGCATGCATGGATGCATGCCTACATGAGCGCATGTACACATGTGCACATGAGTATGAGGATGCATGGGTATGTGGGTTTATGGTTGTATGAGTGCATGGGTGCGTGGGTACATGGGTGCATGGGTGTGTGGGTTCATGGGTGTATGGGTGTGTGGGTTCATGGGTGCATGGGTGTGTGGGTTCATGGGTGCATGGGTGTGTGGGTTCATGGATGCATGGGTGCGTGGTTTCATCGGTGCGTGGGTGTGTGGGTGCATGGTTAAACTGGTGCATGGGTGCGTGGGTATGTGTATGCATGGGTGCATGGGTGCATGGGTACATGGGTATGCGGGTGCATGGGTATGTGGGTACATGAGTATATGAGTGCATGATGCATCAGTGCATGTGTTCAAGGTCATGTAGCAGAAGCAAGATACTGGGTGGAATGATGTGACTCGGAGCCTCGTATAGAGGGAAACAAAGAAAGAGAGCGAAAAAATCCCCAATGGGGAGTTGAAGGAAGTGAGGGAGGCGTGAGAATTGGGAGTGGTGTCGGGAAAAGGGAGAAAAGGCGAGAGGGTGAGAAAAGGAAGCAGACGAGGAGAAAAACGGGTAAAATGCTTGGAAATAGAGCATGCACAGTTTCTATCAGTGACCTGTGAGGGAGCAACTGAGAAGGCACATAAACAGCAACTTGCAAGTGGGATGGCAAATGGGATGGCAATAGCTGAGGCTTGGGATGGGACGGGGAGGGAACAGCAATGCATTGAGATGGGATGGCACTGGATGGGATGGGACGGGATGGGATGGGATGGGATGGGATGGGATGGGATGGGATGGGATGGGATGGGATGGGATGGGATGGGATGGAATGGGATGGGATGGGATGGGATGGGATGGGATGGGATGGGATGGGATGGGATGGGATGGGATGGGATGGGATGGGATGGGATGGGATGGGATGGGATAGGATGGGATGGGATGGGATGGGATGGGATGGGACGGGATGGGATGGGATGGGTTGGGATGGGATGGGTTGGGATGGGATGGGTTGGGATAGGATAGGCCATACACGGGAATCATTGCAGGCATGGTTGTTGCATGGGAGGAGGCGGGCCAAAGGACTCGATGGTGCGAGCAGCGAGGATGAGTGAGTCCATAAAGGCATTGAAGGCTGCCCGCAGGAGACGGGCGTCGGGGCACCAGAAGGAGCTGTAGGGGGGGAGAAGGGGGGGTGGGGTTATAGGATGGCGGAACGGATAGAAAGTCATGCGAGGATGAGTGAGTCCATAAAGGCATTGAAGGCTGCCCTTAGGAGACGGGCATCGGGGCATGAAAAGGAGCTGTAGAGAAGGGGAGGAAGAGGGGTGGGGGTGTGGGGCAGTGACTTATGAGGAGCCTCACAAAAGGTGCGAGCAGCGAGGATGAGCGAGTTCATGAAGGCATTGAATGCCGCGGGCAGGAGACGGGCATCAGGGCACGAGAAGGAGCTGTAGAAGGAAGGGGAGAAGGGGGGGTAGGGTGATAGGATGGCGGGACATGGTGGCATGGGAAATTGGGGGTAGGAAGTAGTCATGCGAGGATGAGTGAGTCATGCGAGGATGAGTGAGTCATGCGAGGATGAGTGAGTCCATGAAGCCTTTGAAGGGCGCCCGCAGGAGACGAGCATCGGGGCACGAGACGGAGCTGCAGAGAAGGGGAGGAGGAG